CCCAAGCATTCTCTGATTCTGTGACTGTAAATATTGTCTATGAAGATGAAAGTTGTAGATATATTCCAATTAAGCTTTTTGAAGGTACCAGAAAGGTCTCCACGGGCTGTAAAAAGGGAGGCTGGCTTTCCACATTCTTCCAGCCTGTTTGGTGCAAATTCTGGCACCTCTGTCCTTCAAAACCTCATCCCAGAATCCCCAAGGCTGGCAGAGCCCTTCAGGATCATCCAGTCCCACCCTAACCAAGCACCACCAGAATCACCCCCAATCCCTGTCCCCAAGGGCCACATCCAGACACCTCTGGGACACAGAGACAGGGACTCTTCCACCTCCCTGGGCAACTTATCCCAGTGCCTGACCAGAAAGATAATCCTTCCTGCTTTTCAGCACAAGCAAGGCCGTGTGGAGAGAGGGCCCAGTCCTGGGAACAGTCTTGGGAGGACAAGAAACACCCTCTGTGAAGGAAGGTGGGCTTGTGTGGGCTGGGAAAGGAAGTCTGAGGGCAACATAACGTGAAAGGCTCCAAAGATGTGAAAAGCTTCCAAAACCAGGGAATTGTTCACCTGTGCTTCATGTCCAAGAGACATGTCAGAGCAGTGACACGATGGCAACAAAACAGAGATAAGGAAAAGGTTTCTAATGATGAAATCAGAAAAAAAAATAGAGGAGACATTGCCTGAGAAGGGGGATATAAAACAAAGTCCATTGGAAGGGGAGGATACAACTAGGCCCTCCTTGGGGCTGCACAGGGACCCACGGGGGCTCCCTGAGGACCTTCCTTCCTGCACTTGTGTTTTTACACTTTTCAAACGAGATGAAATGCTGTGTTTGCTTCTTTTATCCCGTTCCAGAGTTGACATGAGAAGAAACCACCAAAGGATGTCTCCTTTTTCTGCCAGCCAATGGAAATAAACCCAGCAGAGCCCGGGGGGCTCAGCTTCCTCCATCCCACCAGTGTTTGGGGTTGATATCCACGGGCACCGGAACACACACGGCCTTCCCTCTGCCTGTGTGCTGGAGATAGAGCTGCTCCTTCACGCCTTGGATCAACACCAGCTGCTGTTTCTTTCTTCTGTAACATCACTGAGGCAGTTGCATTCAAACCCACCAGAAGATAAGCTGTAAATGTTAGGGTACGTTTAGGTTGGTAAATATTCGTACCGGTAACAAACTGGGGAGTGAGTTGCAGTTCACGATGTGGCCCAACATGGTTACACTGAGGTGCGGTTACACAAATAACCTGCCCTTAAAATGTTTCCCTGTCAACTGTCTGAGCACAAGTAACAATTTCTCATGGAATAAATCTGTTTTCTCCTGCAGCAGCAGAAGCTGCTGTGTGTCTCACCCCCAGGACCTGGAGGGCACAGACCTTCGCCCACCAGAGTTTCAAATCCTGCTCTCTGGGAACATTGCTCTGACCACAGAGGAGTTTGGTGCTTTGAGGGGGTGGGAAGTGAAAGGTGAACCCCTGACTTTACCTTCCCAACCCCTGCAGCTGGGCATGAAAAATACGAAACAAAAAAGGAGAAGATGAGCTCTTCAATCTTATGATCAAACTTCTGGCTGCCAAAAGGGAGCTGGGTCCAAGCCCAGCTTCAGGGGCTGTAACACTGCTGCTGCATTTAATATTCACTGAGCATTCAATCAAACATTCCAGGAACGGGGCAGACTGCAGCAAAACACAACTTCCCTACAC